CCAAGACTCTCACGTAACCAGGGACCATGACCGGACGCAGCAAATCCTAAACCCCAATCTCAAAACCCCTAAACCCCAAACGCCCTCCCTAAACCCTAAACCCTAAACCCTAAACCCTAAACCCTAAAATCAAATCCCTAAACCGAATGCCCCTTTCTCAAGCCCTGGCTTCGCCTCGATGTTCTAGCTCCCCGTGTCCGGCTTTGCTTACAAGCTTATGACTATACTACTGTACAACCTAGCCCCAGCGACCCCTAAACCCTGCATAACCTACGGCCTTGAGTCCAAAACCCTCTATGTGCTCTGCTGCAAAAGCTCTGATCTGGCCCAAAAAAAATCCCTAGGCCCTACGAACCCGCAATGCCTCGATACCCCACCAAAGCCCCAACGCAGCTGCTTGACGATGGATGGCCCCACCCTCTGCAACCTGACTCCCTGCCTTGAGGTCTGCCGGAATCTCGTGGTTTGGGATGTGGTAGACCTTACAAAGCCCAAGAAACCCTAAACCCCCAAACCCGCAACCCAATTTAAGCGTCTCGGGTTTACGGGGCTGGGGGCTGCGGAGAGTTCTTTCTGTGGGGCGTGAGGTCTTGAGACCTCTTGGTTTGGTGCAGGCTTGTGATTTCGGGCGGTGGCAGAGTAGAACTCAGGGACTCAAGCCGTGAAGACATGAAACCCAGACTCTAAGCCACAAAACCCTAAATCCCCAAACCCCTAAACCCCTGAACTTGAAGCAGGCTCAGCAGCAAGGATCTGTGCCCAGAGTCTCGGGGCTCTTCTTGCCCACTTCAGGGCTCCTAGCGTTTACCGTTCAAGAGTTTCAGCGCGCAGAGCCTGCGGCTTGAGGCTTCAGAGGCTTACGAGTAGGGTTTAGGATTTGGGATTTTTGCATGTTTATGGGGTTAGGAGGTTAGTAGACTACTGCAACTGCGACTGCGACGGCGACGACGGCGAGCCCAGAAGTAAGAACCTGAACAAGAGTACAGCAGCTGACTCGGCTACTACGATGCGTACCCCAGAGCTTGAACCAAGAGCCCCTGAACCCCTAACCCCGTCAGTCCGCTAGTCCTAGACCTGGCTAGCCCTCAAAGCCAGTAAACTCTAAATGCCCTACAGAAACCATAAAGTTTAGGGTTTCTGTAGGGCATTTAGGCCCTAAACACAAGAAACAGCTTTTGGCCCAGGTGGCTGTGATGCCATCCTCGTCCCAGGAGGCAGCGAAGGCTCCTGCCGCGGGATATCCAGGGGCTTAGAAGGGCCGCCAAGGCTTCCTTGAAGAGCTCATCTCAGCCGGGGCTTTAGGGTTTGGGGGGTTGCGGTTTCGATGTTAGTGTTCTGGTTTACTTGTCCCGTGGTCTGTCTTATCTTCATCTATGTTGTCCGTGTGAATGGTCAGGGCCATGGCATAACCCCAAACCCTAAAGGTCCCTCAAAGTCCCTCAAAGGAACCCCGTTATTATAGTAACCGTTTAGGGTACCCGTAAAGGAACCCTAACTTTTGCTACAGTAGTTCGCTATTAACCCGGGTAGCAACCCCCAAAGGCTTTTACTTGGGTGCTCGGAGTCTCCAGAGGCGGCGCTTCGTTCTCAGGGCCGTGTTGGCTTTCTAGGACTTCGACAATGCAGAGGCCATGATGGTCAGAAGAGGGTTTTGGGGGGCTGCAGTATACTGTAATGCAGATCGGGACCCACCCGTCTTCGTTTTATTTTATGCCGTTTAGGCTTCCGTGGAAGATCTAGGGTTGCAGGGCCCTGGGCGTCCCTAAACCCTAAACCCTAAACCCTAAACCCTAAACCCTAAACCGGTCATGAGATTCAAGATATAAGGTTTAGGGTTTAGGGCTTGACTCGTTTGTGCTTAGGGTTTACGATTTAGGGTCTAGCACCTTTACCTTGCCAAAAGTCCTAGACCCTAAACCTGTTAACACTTAGACCCCTAAACCCGAAAACCCCCAAACCCTTCACCCTAAACGCACTGAAAGCCCCAAAAACCTAGAACCCGAAACCCTACAACCCCAAAGCCATAAACCCTATACATCCTAAACCAAAACCCATAAAGCCAAAACCCTGTAAATCCCAGAGCCCTAAACCCTGACACCCCCGGATCCTGAAACCTAAAGCCCTACACCCCATGAATCCAAAAAAACCAAAATCCTAAACCCAATAGACCCCGAAGCCCTAAAAGCTTAACCCCAACAGACCCCGAAACCCTAAAAGCCTAGACCCAATAAATCCCGAAACCCTAAAACCCTAAACCCAATAAATCCCGAAACCCTAAAGACCCTAAACCCAATAAATCTCGAAACCCTAAAAGCCTGGACCCAATAAATCCCGAAACCTTAGAAGCCTAAACCAATTATAAATCCCGAAACCCTAAAAGACCCTAAACCCATTATCCCTAAGACCCTAAACCCATTATAAATCACGAAACCCTAAAACCCTAAAAGCCTAAAACCCAATCAATCCCGAAACCGTAAAACCCTAAAAGCCTAAAACCCAATCAATCCCGAAACCCTAAAACCCTAAAAGCCTAAAACCAAATCAATCCCCAAAAGGCCTAAACCCGACAAATCCCGAAACCCTAAAGCCCTAAAGGCACACTAAACCCTAAACCCTAAACCCCTTCTCGGGAGGATCCTGGGTTCTTGGCGAACCACTCGCCAGTCCGCTGGACTTGCCGGGGTCGGCAGCCGAAGAGATTCTTCCAGTAGTTCCTTTTGAGGTCTTTAGGGCTTCAAGATTTGTGTGGTTCCGTTTTTTTTGTTGTTTTTAAGGCTCGAAAGACTTTTTAAGACCAGGCATAGGGCTCAGGAGGATAATTTAGGGCTTCAATTTTTTACAAAGACCTAGCATAGGGTTTACGAGGATATTATCGTAAAGCTACAATAAGGACTGTAAGTGGGTACGTACTGTTGCTAGTTACTTAGTCCGCTATAGTCGGGTTCTTCCAGTATGGGGTTGGGGGGTTGGGGAGAGTTGTTCGAATTTGGAGTTTAGGGCGTTAGGGCTCTTCCCTGTGTCCATTCTTTCAAGGTTCTCAAGGGTCTTCGGGATTTACAGTTTGTTGGTGTTCTCCTAGTAGCTCCTGTGTTAGGGCTTTTGGGAGTAAGACTTTAAGTAAGGCTTTGGGGTTCTTCTAGTAGCTCCTTTCTTGGTACAATCGACGACTAGAGGATTCAGGCTTCCTGGGGGTTCAGGGATTGGGATTTCGGCTTTTGGGCTTTGGGGCTTCCCGTGTTCAGTTGAGGACTTTGGGGCTGGGTTTCAGGGGCATCATGGACTTGAAGGCTCTTCTACATTCCATGCTAGCAACCTGCAACAACAATTAGGTGGGTTGGGACGGGCACGAGCACCAATGATTGCAAGCACCCGGGTTACATCAGCAGGCATGCAGTTTCCCCGGTACGCTCAACTCCAACCCTCCCCAGCGATCACGACTAGGACGACAACGACAACCACTACGATGCTTGCTCCGGTTGGTTCTGCTACGCCGCTGAGGACTGCGGCTACCAGTCCTACGGGTGACAATACGGGTACGTCGCAGGCAGCTGTGAGAAGCAATGGTCGAGTTTGCGCGCAGGGCAAAATAAAGCATTTTCCATGACGAGATGAAGCTCCAGAAAGACGTCAGACAGGACAAGAGCAGCATTATACTAATTCCAATAACACCGCGAATGGTACTAAAAGTGATGGCCCAGTCGCGTGTTGCAGTTCATGGGGCCTGAGCCGCCCATCCTCTTCCCCCGCATGCAACTTCCCACCTTTCCTCGGCGAGTGCGATCAAGGCCGGGCGTATAAGTAGCATAGGGATTAAATCTATCTTCCACTATAGTCACAATCAGGAACCCCGGAAGAGTATTAGTAATGTAGGGGCCTTGATGTTTTTGTTCGAGCAGGGTTTTGGGCTCCTTTATAATAGAATTATAATAAGGAGCCTTAAGGAATAATACTGGCAAGTATTTAGGCTTCTACAGTAGGCCCAGCTCTTGGGACCTTTCGTCTTGCACCGACCATAAACCCTACACTCCTAAACCCCGTCCCACTCGCCCAACCTGCGGGGATAAAGGAGATGTCGAGCGGCGGGGGTCGAGCAAGCAGTTCTTGTCTGTGTGGAAAGTGATCTTGCTCGCCTTCAAGGCGCCCGGCTTTTTGCACCAAAAATGCTGAAATGTGCATGCCCTCTGGTGGGAGCCTCATCGTTCGCGAACTCCATGATGTCGAACTCTCCACCATCGGGCCTCGTTTGATTCTTGGGACGTGGCAGAAGGCATCAAAGTCACCAGAAAAACCAGGCACAAACCTTAGTATAGTGAGCTCCTCGTGGCATAAGGGGCTCTGGATGGCTCCCCACCCTAAATGACCCTTTCTAAGCACTTCACAAGACTCTCTCCACTGCAGTGTCCACAATGCGTTCAACCTCCTTCTTGAGCCCATGACAGTCCGGCAACAGAAACTCGAAACGGCTCTTGGCCACCCTTTCATCTGATGGCTCCAATCTCAGATGAGGTGCCACACCTTGTCGCTGTTCATCAGCCAGAATGCCGGCCAGATGGAGGGACCCCAAGGCACATGGTTGTACTTCATGACCACCAGAAAGCCTCGGCAATATGTACCAGCTGCAGCTACGAAGGCAGCAGTCGCAGTAGCAGCTGTGGCCGTAGCAGCGGTAGGAGGAGTGGAAGTAGAAGTACAAGTCGTAGTAGGAATGGTGGTGGTAGTGGTAGTAGTGGTAGTAGTAGTAGTAGTAGTAGTAGTCGTGGTGGTGGTGGTGGTGGTGGTGGTGGTGGTGGTCGTGGTAGTGGTAGTGG